TTTATGTCTGATATCGTAACCATATTGCATGTTGTTTAACATGTTGGATAATGGATTCAGGGCTAGGCAGAACCAGAGAGAACTCAAGGAATCTCCTTGAAAAATTCCTCGCCTAATGAATATTTCGTTTGTTTGTATGAAAGTGTTACTAGCCCTGAGATGTAGTGTTGTTCTCCAGTGCTGCATAGTGTTTTGGAAGAATCTAATGAGTGATGGATGTATTTTGTACATGTGTAGAATATGTAGCAGCCAACTGTGTGGAACACTGTCGAATGCTTTTCTGTAGTCTATATATGCCATGTGTATGTTTCTGTGTTGTTTGTGTGCTTGCCGTAGAATGACTGAATCTATGAGTAACTGTTCTTTGCATCCCCTGTGATTTCTACGGCAACCTTTTTGTTGTTCTGTAAGAATGTCGTGTTCTTCAACATGTTTGTATATTTTGTTTGTGATACAGGATGTCAATAATTTGTAGAGTGTTGGAAGACATGTAATTGGTCTGTATTGTGTGGGGTCTGTGGTGTTGTTGTTTTTAGGTTTCATGTAGGTGATGCCCTGAGTAAGAAATTTTGGCATGTCTTGTGGATTGATGATGATGTGTGTTAGATGTTTAGCTAGTTCCTGATGCAGTGATGTAAACTTTTTGTACCAGAAATTGTGAATGTTGTCTACACCAGGTGTCTTCCAGTTGTGTGTTCTGTTAACAGCGTAGCAGATGTCATGTATGTTTATTTCAGCACAGGGCATAGTTAGTATGTTGTGCAAGTTTCTGTTCTCCTCCTCAATCCAGCCTGCATCAGCATTGTAACAGCATTGGACCAAAGAGAAGACCAATAAGTTGTGAGTTCTTCTTCTGTTGGTGTGCCACTGTCTTGTGTATCAGTGTTTGTTTTGGTACAAATCAGTCTGTAGAAAAGGTTTTCATTGTTTGTGAATAATTTATTTTGTTGTTTTTGTAGTGTACATGTTTTGTATCGTTTGAGTCTACGTGCTTTTGCTGCGAGATTTTGTTTTAGTGTATCGATGTATTCTGTAATGTGTGTGTTGTGATGTTCATGCTTTGTGTGTGTTTTGATTTTCTTGAAAATGTTTTTGAGTTGTTTCTTTAATTTGGGTGTTATGTTGTTTTTAGTGTATTGTGTCAGCCTGCCTAATTTCTGTCTAATGTCATTTATTTGTGTTTCTATTCTTCTCTGCCAGGCAGGCTTGTGATAGAATTGTGTTTTGTGTGTATCTGTCTGCAATTGTATTTTCAGACCATGATGTGTTACTACTGTGACTGCCCCAGCATAAACTAATGTATGAATGTCTGAGAGTGTAGAAATTAAATGAATGTAGTGTGGTAGTGAGTGTTTACATAATTTAGTGTTTTCCCTACTACCTTTGACGTGTTGATTTTCGGTATTCGTGGTCTTTGTGTGGGATCTGTACCTGTATATTTAGTGAGTGTTTCCTGAAATATAAGTGAGAGCATATTAACTAATTCTATGTCTATGTTATCAGTGATGGATGAGGAAGTGCTTGTAGTATCATTAGTAGTAGTTGTTATATGTGTGCTATTATCAGTGCTTGTTGCTGGATTATCCTGACGGGTTACGTGATCTTCATTAATAATGTTAAATGTTTCTGTCTGTTGATGTATTTGATCAGCAACCTGTTGTTTGACAAGTTCAAGTGTTGTTTGTGGGATAAGGTTGTTGTGTATAATTGTTCTTTTTTGATCGACAACCCTTTGTTCGGTGACAGTGAGGTGAGGATATTGTTGTGTGAATCTATGGTATTGTTGTTGTCTGTATGCTGTGATGTTTGTTTCGAGTTTTGTGATTGCATAGTAAGTACAGATGATAAACTCGTTCATTTCTGATGTCCATTTCATTTGTTGGCGTGGTTTTCCAGCCTTTGTGGTCTGTGGATGCATTGCCACACAAGGCTAGGTTGATTCCTCACATCTGTTGAGGGCATTGCAGTAGCCATGCTTGGGCCGGCACTGCTTTCGCCACCGGTAACCAAAGGAGACTGCGGCCTATTTTTCGAATGTGAGCCTCTGCCTAACCCATGAACGTGGACCTTGTTAACCTGGGCGACATCCAAGCCGTTATCACACTTTGATCTGGTTACTACCATGATAATTATCTCCACAGAATGTGGGTGTGGTCACTCTTAGCTTCATTTCTCCCCATAGACCTTACTGGCATGGGTGTCCCTACCAGGACCTTGTGCTCTAGCCTGCATTGCTCTATGGTTCAGTAAAATTACTGGGCTCTCTCACCACAACCAGGTGGTGACCACAGGAAAGTTATTATTATTATTATTATTATAAATTTTTATGTATTATTGCACATTTATATTTTTATCCAGTCACTTCAAATTATGTTTTGGATATCTATTACTCTTCTTCAATTTATATTTTATTGGTTTAATTAAAATATATTTAGTATATTACTTAAATCAGTGTTTCTCATTCTTAACTGAGTATTGGTCTATGGAATGCTGGTCTGTAAAACAAATCTTAATATATTAAATAGTAAATACTAAACAGAATAGAAAATAGTAAAACAATAATAAATTTGATATGCTTTAAAATATTATTACTATTTAAATGAAATACTTATTATATAATATTGTGCAACAATTATAAACTTGACAAGATTCTAATTTTGATGGAAGTTACTGCACATGCAAAATGCATTTTTAAGTTCAAGATAGATCTGAAGAATAATTACTGGAAATCTTTGGTGCCTAGCTAGAAAATTTGTAAAAGAGATTCAAATGATAGAATTAAGAGAAAAATGTAATTCAATAGATAATAAAATATATAAAATAATATTTATTTAGTACAATATTTTTATTATAATATTGTTTTGTAAACTCATTTTCTGTGTTAGGTTTAAGAATGCATGATGATGTTACAAAAGAATTAAAAAAAAAAAAATCACAAAAATTATTTATCAACTTCATTCCTAATACTTTAAATTTTGTATAAAAGCTTTTTAAACATTGATAATTCATTGCTTATAACTCCAAATATAAGTGTGAATAAAACATGGTCATATTTGCATGGTCTTTTTTTTTTAAATATAAAAAAATATTTGTTTAAATTAATATGACATTATTATTAACAACCATGATTTGAAAAAAATCAATTCTATTTAAAAAATTTATGATTTAATTGTAAAGGTAAATGAATGAAAATATTTAGATCACAATTTCTTTAAAAGAAATAATAAAGCTTTAAAACTCTAAAATATATCACTATTGCTAAGCAATGATCATCTATTAGAAAGAAAAACCACTGTTTTATAATATATGAAATATGTTTTTTAACACAAAATACACAACAAAAAACCTAAGTCCTTCCAGTAACAATGTTTTAATGAAATACAAACATTTTCCTGGTTATTTCAATCATATTTATTACCATTTCAAATTTATTGATTTAAATTTGAATTTAGCAGACTTTATAATTATTTAAATTTTGCAGATATGCTGTTTGATATGCTCCATTATAGAACTTGTATCTTTAAACCTGATACAAACCTTAGGAGGTAGAAAATGTTCATATTTTGTTAAAATATTGTTACTGGCGGACTTAGGTTTTTTGTTGTGTATTTTGTGTTACATAACAGTTCAATTTGCAGAGAAGGTTTTTATATTTTTTCCATATATATATATATTTTTTAATATCATCAAAAATAAATGGATGAAGATATTCATCCAGTCACTTCAATTTCTTCAATTTGTTATTGATGCAGACTGAAATATGTTAAACTAATTTTTTCTACTTTATATTTCAATGTGAAATAATAATTTTATACAAACTTTTTCAAAAATATTTAGTAATGTTAAATTTTTAATATCCATTATATAATTTTACAGAAAATTTATAAATTTATCAGTGACACTAATATTCTCACAATATGTGATATTACAATGCAATATTAAATGAAAATGCTCTAAATAACAATCACTTTGCAATATTTTTAATGACAAATTTAATAATTTTGAACGGTGTATGTGATGTGTGCAATAGTTATAAAAATCTTATTCATATTTAAAAAAAAATCAAAAATGACTCAAAATAATCCAAATAAAAATTGGCTTGAAACTAAAATAAACCATAACTAATAATATATTCTTAACTTCGTTAATGCCATCATATTCATATGCAGATGCTACTCTATTATAATTTTAAATTAAAGAACAAAATGTACATATTTTGCACTCAAGTGATAAAAATCATGTAAAATTTTAAACTCTGTGAAATTTATTAATGTATCATCATTAGTAACTTGTAGTTTATATCACAATAATTTCAGTACAGCTGCCATAGCTTTATCGAATCTATATTAAGTCTTAAAGTGTTTAAAATACAGCAAATTAATTTAATGAAAGAATTATTATTTTTAAATCAAAATGTACATATATTTTGAAGTTGTAAATTATAAAAAATGATCACATTATTTCATATTATTTGGATTAATTTCTTTTTGCCAAGCATTGCAGATTTAAAATAAAAATTTACAATTATTTTAAAGATTCTTCTGTCTCTTGTAATATTGTCTGAGCTGATTGATAATCTTCATTTTCAGCTAAANGTAATGTTAAATTTTTAATATCCATTATATAATTTTACAGAAAATTTATAAATTTATCAGTGACACTAATATTCTCACAATATGTGATATTACAATGCAATATTAAATGAAAATGCTCTAAATAACAATCACTTTGCAATATTTTTAATGACAAATTTAATAATTTTGAACGGTGTATGTGATGTGTGCAATAGTTATAAAAATCTTATTCATATTTAAAAAAAAATCAAAAATGACTCAAAATAATCCAAATAAAAATTGGCTTGAAACTAAAATAAACCATAACTAATAATATATTCTTAACTTCGTTAATGCCATCATATTCATATGCAGATGCTACTCTATTATAATTTTAAATTAAAGAACAAAATGTACATATTTTGCACTCAAGTGATAAAAATCATGTAAAATTTTAAACTCTGTGAAATTTATTAATGTATCATCATTAGTAACTTGTAGTTTATATCACAATAATTTCAGTACAGCTGCCATAGCTTTATCGAATCTATATTAAGTCTTAAAGTGTTTAAAATACAGCAAATTAATTTAATGAAAGAATTATTATTTTTAAATCAAAATGTACATATATTTTGAAGTTGTAAATTATAAAAAATGATCACATTATTTCATATTATTTGGATTAATTTCTTTTTGCCAAGCATTGCAGATTTAAAATAAAAATTTACAATTATTTTAAAGATTCTTCTGTCTCTTGTAATATTGTCTGAGCTGATTGATAATCTTCATTTTCAGCTAAATCACTTTCTGAATCCTAAAAGAAAAACATTATTATAAATTATATTATTTTAAATTTTAAAATAAGTTTATTTAGTAATAAAAAAAATTATTTACAGTAAAGTCTTAATTAACCAAGACATATTTCACAAAGATTCTACATTATTCAACATATTCTGGAAGAACACTTTGTGCAAAATTCAATACTTGAAAAAGTTTCTAGAAGTTTTAAAAATTTATTCTGATTACTTCTTACAACAACATAACTTAAAAAAGTTCAGAAGAATTTTAATTATAATCATAAGTTTACATTTACTTTAATAAATATAGTTGTAAATAAAATTGAGTGTTTTATTGTGTCATTACATTCAATCAGTAGATAACTTAAAATAGAATATATCATACCAGGTACAAAATTATAATATGTATATATAACATATTTAAAATTTTTGTAAATTTTGTATCTATTTTCTGTATTTTACTTTGTTAATCTCGTTCCTTTTGGAATGAGGTTAACAGCACCAACAAAATAAGGGGAGTTTGAGTGAGGACCCGAAAGTGAACGGACGTGTTATTTTATGGTCTCAAATTTTCTTTGTCTTGTTTCAACCTACACTTGACCTTACGACTACGACTGCAAAATAATACGACATATATATATATATAAAAATGGATGTGTATGTGTCCCTATATTTCACTTTTCTGCAAAAACTACACATCGCACATGAATGCTGTTTGTATGTGGTGGTAGCCCCAAGTCTCCATTCGTGCACTATGGTGGTTGCGTCTCGACAGCTATAAGGGTGTGGGAGATATGGGGCTGAAAGTGGTTGAAAGTGGTTTTCTATTTCAAATGTTATGTTCGAATTTGTTCGAATTTAATTCAAACAATATTCGAATTCGAATTGGTTTGATTATAGAACAATTGTAAACATTCCAGAAAATTGATCAAATTGAAAATAGTTCATTTGACTAGACATAAAAGTTCTCTAATTAGTCTGGAAACGGGGGACCTAATTCTTGAATTCTGTGAAAACGGGTAAGATTGGCTATAATGTAATTATCTTAATCTTCACTATTGTTACTTTTTGCCCAGCAAAGCAGGTCCTTGCAGCTAGATTCTAGATTACTTAGACAAACAGTCTTTTATATATATATATAAAAAAACTATATTACATAAAAATAAAAACCCAGCGAAGCAGGTCCTTGCAGCTAGTACATTATATAAAATTCAATGAAAGGCAAGATATGCAAAAAAATACTAAAATCAAGGCATTAAATTAAGAGCTGTCTAATTGTTTGATTAAATATTTCCAGGCCGAAGGCAACCCTTCAGAATCTCTAGAATTAATGCATGCATCATGCAATCTGCTCTTATATATTTCAATTTTTTCGGCGCAAATCGCCAATGTCGGTGAATGTACTGGTTTAATAATACTTGCTTCGTCCCATTTGACGATTGAGCCCTCAACTTGCGCCAATTGCGATAGTATTGTGGCATTAGATCCCTTGCTGATATTGTACTTGTGTTCTTTTAATCTGACTCCTAAACTTCTATTAGTTACGCCAATATATAATTTTTATTAATGTCTAGTTCACGATTTTCATATGGAATCCTGTATACTCCTGCTCTTTTTTCATTATCTATGCTGTCTTTGTCGTTCCTTAATAATTTGTACAGGTTAGGAGCTCTCTTGAAAATTAACTTGGACTTTTTGCGGGCTGAGATTTCCTTCATGATGGCTTTTCTCTTTCTATCATAAGTGA